ATCTAAAAAGTGAGGTTAAGGAAAAGAAAACAATCGAGCGATCATCCGTAGCACGCAGCGATAAAAGGATACCCACCGCTAGAACCTTATTATCGAGCGTCTGCAATGGTACTGGTTGTCCAGAAGGCTCAATGAGCCTCCAAAGACCAGTTACCCCCATTAACGGAAGTAATCACAGCTAAAATAGGAAGAGCAAGGCAAAATTCTCACGCTGTCAAGCTCTCAGGGACAAGGACGAATATAAACTAGTACATTCATCCTTCTTATTTTGGTGTTAATTCCCACGGAAAGACGCGAGAATCATCAAATCAGAGGAAAATATTATGTTAACGCAGTCTGAAATTCTGAATTACATCGGCTGTATCAAATGTTTGAGCTGAGAATCGCCGAGGCCACCCACTCTTTCCCACACGATGATTTTCCCACGCCCTGGCTATAACCCCAACATCCTTTAGCGGCACGGCACTATACGATACGGTGCGGAACGGGGAGAATAAAAGTACAGTTCATCACAATAATTGCGCTACCAATATAATGATGGATGCGCGTTAATTAAATTTAGGTAAAAAATTCGGGGAATGTCCCCCGATCGCGGTTTTCGGTAAACGCTATTGGCGATGTTGTCGATTAGTTGGATTAATTAAGATCGACGTCTCCGATAAAAATGATAACACAGTTTAATGGTGTAACGTTGGTCGAACTGTCGGAAAATTCATATCGCGAACAGGTGTTTTGGAATGAAATGAGGTAGCATTCGAGAGAGGGGACCAAACAGCAGTCGTTCTCACGTATTCCGGTAGCTCTGGCGCGTTTCGCTAGAAATCCTCAGTCAGTACTTAGTCTGATTCGGCGGCATCTACTTCCAAAACAATTCAATCCTAAATGAACCGGTAGCTTTTCACTCATAACCATAAAAAATGCAAACATGTGAAATTGTAAACAGTCAGTGCAGGACCCGGGGAGTGCAGTGTTGGATTTAAACCAAATTTTCAGCATGCCTCACCAATACGGCCTCCCGGGAATCGCTCACGCACAGTCGCCTCCGACACCACCCCCTCAACATGGGGCAATGTATTCCAGATTCACCGGTGCGGTCGTACCGGGCGGCTACCGAGGCGAAGGCCGGAAACTTACACGGGAAGCGATGGAACGTTACCTCAGGGAAAGATCCGACATGGTCGTAGTCATTCTGCACGCCAAGGTAGCCCAAAAGTCCTACGGCAATGAGAAACGATTCTTCTGCCCACCACCCTGTATATACCTATTCGGAGACGGCTGGCGGCTGAGACAGGAACAGATGCTACGCGAGGGCGAATCCGAGCAGGCGGCACAGCTCTGCGCCTTCATCGGCATCGGCAATTCCGACCAAGACATGCAACAGCTCGACTTAAACAACGGCAAGCAGTATTGTGCAGCGAAAACCCTATACATCTCCGACTCGGATAAACGTAAGCACTTCATGTTGTCGGTGAAAATGTTTTACGGCTCCGGACACGATATCGGCGTATTCCATAGTAAACGTATAAAAGTTATTTCGAAACCTTCTAAGAAAAAACAGTCATTAAAAAACGCCGATCTGTGTATAGCCAGTGGCACGAAAGTTGCGCTGTTTAATCGATTAAGATCGCAGACCGTGTCGACCAGATATTTGCACGTCGAAAACGGACATTTCCATGCCAGTTCTACACAATGGGGCGCTTTCACAATTCACTTATTGGACGATAACGAGTCGGAAAGTGAAGAGTTTCAGGTACGAGACGGATACATTCATTATGGGGCCACTGTCAAATTGGTTTGCTCCGTTACCGGAATGGCGTTACCACGATTAATTATTCGAAAGGTATGTTTGTTGGAGGCTTGTTGTTGTTTTGAGAACCACTCTACTGGCACTGATAAACGCTCTCACTAATTTTTAAACGAGCTTTTTATGCAAAATCTGACTATGAAAAGGTCTTTATGCTTTAAAGGGCGAAGGGTCCAATCTGAGAGTTGCTTAATGACATTAGTGGATCATTCGACCATGAGAATAGTTACCATATAAGACCACAATGCATGGCTAATTATCCTGGTAGGAAGCCATACTTTTGCATATTTATATAATTCTCCAAGTTACCATATTCCCTTGCAATCTCGCTTGCAATACAGTTTAATAAGGTACCCTCCTTATTATATTTAAGTTTTTAGGAATAGATAATATGTCTCGTTCATACATGCCAATTGCCTTTTGTGAGTACTCTCCTCTGACACTACATTCTCACCGCCAAGTATGCCCCCTAGGTGGTTATATGTTTAATGACCGCATGACAATATCTCCCTCTGTTTCTCATTTATCAAGTTCAAAAAAATAATAGATTACAATTGTTTACAGGGTGTCTGAAACATATTTTGTTTCTCGTTTTGTTTTCTGTTGGGGGGGGGGGGGGCTAACTTTAGGAACTCGATGTCTCGGATAAATTTTAAATAAAAATTGAGTCTGACCAGTGAGTGGAGGTAAGGCCTATTTTGCGCCTAAATTACTGTTCTGGAGAATCCTGGAAAACTGAATTATAACGTCATCAAATATATTTTTCCCGAAAACATACCAAAGTTGTTTGTTGTTTCAGAACAATTTGTTTTAGTTAAAAAGTTACAAAGGTCCTAAAATGCCTTAAAAATTACTACTTCGACAATCATATTACCACCACGGCAAAGTCAAAGTAGGTAACACTTGCATGTTGTTGTTGCGTAGTTGTTCACAATTTGTATCAATGATGTAATTTTCCAGGTAGGTAGTGTAGGGCCCTGATTTGCAAACAAGAAGAAAGATTTTCGCCCTAAGGCGCATTTTCCATGCACAGATTAGTACTTTCTGAGAGGCTATATGCACATAATTATATTTATATGCGCTACGTTTGCTTTCATTAAAACGAGTTACGGTTTTATATGAAAGTTGGCATTTCGCAATCTGCGCATGCGCACATCTGATTTTTAATTCCCCTGATGTGTGCCTTTACTAGGTATAAACATCTATAGTAAGCATTTCAAAAACATACCCCCAGTAGTACGAAAGTTGCGCAGTCGAGCATGCGCACATTTCGATGTTTGTCTTTACTGATCGCAGCTCCAGCTAAAATTGTACAGAAATACTCTCGGACATACCTCTAACTATCTAACTAAGCAAGTTAGCTCTTTACTTTTGGTTTATCTCTATTAGAAGTATCTGTCGTTAAAACTCCAGTTAAAATGCCAAAAAATATCTAAGAAAATTGACTTAGTAGCCTGCGTATGCGCATATTTGGTTTTTACTATTGTGTAATGTTTGCTTTTAAAAGAAGCACCTGTGGCTCGACCTGTGGTAAACATAAAAAAAATTATTCCGTAAATATTGTAGGTTGCGCATTCGCATATATATATATATATATACAATATGTTTGTCTCAAGGTTTGTCAATCATAAAATAAGCCAAAGAATTAGCCCCTTCTGTTTTTACGTCACCTTTAGGAACACCCTGTATATGTAGCCCATTTTCGATACTGTAGGATATCTCCGTAATTGTTAGTGCTAGCAATCATATAGGCGTGATGTGCTCTTGATAGGTCAAACCGGGTCAAACTTAAAATGGTAAAATCAAAATTGTACAATATTCGCTCGCTTTAGAGATATGGGGGAAAATACAAAATTGTTCAGAATGACCATATATATTTTTAGTTAAAAGAGATTCAGAAAAATGTTTATTAATTACAAATGTTTCTTTCGTTCTTTATACTTAATGATTGTTGACCTGTCAATTTCAAAATTAGGTAAGGTCAGGTAAAAAAGTTATCGGACCTAACCTCATTTCTTAATGGAACCTGTATATTTAATCGAAAAAGATAATAAATTACATTTTTTCTTGAAAAATATATCACACCAGCGATAGTATTAAAAAAGATTCAAGTGATTCAAAAAATTCAACAAGATTAAAAAAGGTTCAAATATGTAATTCGAAAAATATAAAAAGTTCAAAAATGTTTTTGAATTTTTAATATTTTTAAACATCTTTTCGCATCTTTTTTAAGTTTTTTAAAATCAATATTGAATATTTTTAGCGTCATATTTTTGGAAGGAGGATTTACTATGCTATCCTTTTTAAATTAAAATAAACAGGGTGTTCCATTAAAAAAAAATGAGGTTAGGTACAATAACTTTTTGTACTTGAACCCGTATATTTTTTTTAAATGGTAGGTACATCAATAATCATTATAAAGGAACTTTTGTAGTAAATGTTTTTCTGTATTTCTTTTAACTATCAAAATATAGGGCATTCTGAAGTTGACAACTTTTTGATTTCTCCCATATATTTTATATGAGCGAATATGATTTTTACCATTTGGCCCGAAAAGAGCACATGACGCCTTTATTACTTTCTTGCTAGCAGTAACAACTACAGGGAGGTACCCCCTAAAAGTGTCCAAAATGGGACATCCTGTACGCCTCCTTGCTTTAGTGAAATATATATCTCACGAGAACACAGAAAACGATGTTGAAGGGCGCCCAATTACAAGTACATTTTCAGTACAACTTGTTTCTCGATTAACAATTGGCACTCTTTGTCATTTCATCTTCACCATGGTCTATTTTTTAAATTTCTTTCTTCCTCCTCTCTCAGAATCAGAGTCATTTATAGGTTTCCTACTATGAAGAGTGGTTCGCATGTCATAATTCCAAGATGGGGCTCGGATCGCCTAGGCTTGACCAAATATCACCCTAAGGTACATATACATATGATCAGTCTGGCCGTGCTTGCAAACATTCTCAATGTTAAGTAATCAAATAATGTCCAAAATATTCTATCCATTTCCAAAACTTTTTATACATTCTACACATTTCCAAAACACTTCTAAAATTGTCTATACATGTCATACCTTTACGTACATTTTGCTATATAGATCTTCTCCTCTCTGTAAAGAAAATGAAACTACTTCAAAAGCTTGATGCGGCAGGATTGGTTGAGTGACCCAAAAATGATTCTCATTACTGCCTTGCACTTCTCAACGATGAGAAGGGAATAATGAAATGCATTTTTTTCCAATGCGTCGTCAATGTCAAATTTCTTTTCGTCTGTAAAACATAAAATCCTAATTTTTCCTGTTCCCGTTCCCGTGGGAATTTTGGAAAGTTTTAGAGAGCTGAAGGATAGGTTTGAAAAAAAATTTTTTTTCAATAGTCCTTAAAATAAGAAAGTTATGACGATTTTTCGAAAAACAAAAGAACGCCAATATCTTGGAACCGGGGCACCTAATCAAAAATTGGAACTAAGAAAAGTTATTTGTTTTAATGAGTTCTAACTGCCGTTTTCGAGTGTAACAACCGAGGTAACAACTTAGTATTAACACCCAGTATAGATTACCACCTTTCATTATGCAAACATGCGTATGTATTTAATTAAACAAGTTTTCGAACACTACTCTATACAGGGTATTCAGAATGTTGTGTGTAAAATTTAATGACAAATTATTCGCGCAAATTCTACATGAAAAAATACAAAAAAATGTGACAAAAAACTATATTATAAACGTTCGTCTGGAAATACCTCGGGAAATCCTTCATGTTCGTGAGGTGTTTTTTTACTTTTTAATATTCACAAGCCTTGATATTGTACTGATTCATAAATTAAGTGTTATTTTGAAAACAGTGCGTTGGAGTCCAAGGGGCACTTACTTTGTATGCAAAATTCGTGGCAAAATTTATCTGGATTGAAAAAAGCTACACTATTTTTTGCAAACAAACACTTGTATATAAATTAGTAAGAAGCTAAAACTAATGCCAAGCTAGTTTGGATCTTGGCAATCAACACCCAGTGGCAGGGTCAGAGGTCAAATACCGTTCTGGGGTGAGTCCTTAACATACAAGCAGCATGCTGTACAAAGAGAGACGAAAAGATTGTCAAAAGGCGGAGGATAAAAATCTCGATAAAAATCTATGCTTTAAGATTTAACATGTGCGCCCAGGCGCAGATGGGCGAGGCGAGTGGTGGAGATTTTTGGGGATACAGGTAGAGTATGTACGTCGGTATGTACCGAAGAATCACAGCACAGCAGTAGTGCAGTGATCTCTCTGCAAATTTTCGTATTAACTTCTTACTAACGTAGAAGTTCCAAATTTTTCTGATTTTTGGACACTGCAGAGGTCTTTCTTGTCCCATTCTTATGGGTTAACACTATGTAGTATTTAATTAAATGGTTATTATTTTTCGCATGGAATTTTAAGTTCAAGATTCTAATAATGAGCAAATTACTAAAAGTTATTGTTCTTAAAAATTGTACTTTAAACAGTGAAATAATAGCCTTATTATATACATAATAATACCAAAAGTAATAATTTTGATGTTATTGTTTAATTGTTTTAAGTGTTTTAATAATAATGTGGTGCCTTTTGTCTCTAAAACTTTGTAATGTCATCGCCTCACTTTTATTGTACTATTTGAATGTAGTCTAACCTGGAAACGTTATGGAAGTTACGAGATTTGCAAAAACCTTGGCAAAAACGATATTCTCCGGTTGTTTCAAACACAGTAGCTCCGCACATTGGATTCAGTGGACCTAACTAATCTGCCTGTCTACGATAAAATGTTGCCCCTAGACCATCCATCGACTTTGTATTTTTTGCTAGCTTTATTATGTCCCCTATCACGCAATGTACAAAAGTTTTTACAATTATTTTCATTTAAGGAGGAGAGAATTACAACAGGACATTAGTGTGGTGTAAATGCTCTGATTGTAAAGCATATTTTGATCTGCACCTCAATTTTCAGTGTATCCTCTCGGATATTCGGGGTCTGGGCCTATTATTCCTTGTCGAACTTTAATGTATTTTATCTACAGGATGTTTTTATGCGGTCCTCCACATTTGACAACATTCAAAGTACTATAGCTTAATCTACTAAAGGAA